AAATGAAATGTTAGATTACTTTTCACAAAATTCAGGCTGTTTAAAAATATTCCTCGATTTTATTGAACAATCGAGCATCACCTTACCCCTTTTCTGCCATCCGATTGCAAGAACGTTCTTGCCAAACCCTGTAGGCCGTTCAGATTATCCTTGTTGGAAAAGAAAGATTTAGCAGCCTCGAGAAACACAGACGAGGCATTCTCCTCCTCCACCTCGTGTTTCTCGCAATTCGCCGCAGCTAATAGAACAAGCAGTACGCACGTCCTCGGCAACCACATTTTTCCTTCTCGTTCTCCCTTCCTGTCTGTCTTCTGCTTCTGAAAAAACGTATAACTCGTTAACGAAGGAACAAATTAACACGCGCGTTTTACGTTTCTGGAATTTGATTCTCGGCTCCATGGCATAACGAAGATGAACGAGTCGTTCACCTTCAACCGGATCTTGATCGAGTTATTTTAGGATGGCGCGCGCCTCTATCCAGGTCGTCGACAGGATTTTAAGCGTGAGTAATACACCGGAAACGTTTCGGGCTCGTGGACACTTGGATACCGTTGCACGTGTAAAATGCCATTCGAACCAATAACTGAAGACACGAACGATTTTTTGTTCCCTGTTCGATTGTCCACTGTTACAAGTCTCAAAAAATTTCTGGGAAACGAAGTTAATCCACTTGGTCTCTGAGAAACTCACACGTTGCTTACTGTCGAGTTTTGCAAGATACTATCATTCTTTTAATTGGAATTAACTGTAATTGTCAAGTTACAGTTCTGAAATTTTTCGTATGATACTATCACATTTTTAATTGGGATTAACTGCAATGAGTTACAATTCTGAAATTGAAATATCCTAGAATTTTATTGATATGTCCTGGCATCTTTTAAGTCCTAGAATTTTACTACTTTTTTAATAAACTAAAAACGATTGCAATGTCAATTTTAACGATAGAAGAGTTGGTAATTCTTCCCATATTCCCTTCTATTTTCTTTTATATCTTTTTCATTTTTCTCCGCCAGGGTATTGCACTTCCCATCAACTGTCTTTGATATTCTTACTATACAAGACCGGTTCTCAGTCAAGTTCTTTACTGAATTGAATCCTTGTTCAAAACATTATTCAATGCTTATTCAAAAATCTATTCTATTCAACAGTCTAATTCACGTCAATTATTCCTCTCAGAACCAAGTATTCCTTAGGCTACAGAAAACAAATTTTCGTTTGCCTATTCGTGGACAATAGAGACACATTTTCTACTCTTTTTTTTTGTAAAACATAGTGAGAAGTGAAAGAGTTTCTTCGAAAGTAATCGTTACACGGAACATCGTGCGAAGAAGGATCAGGATCGAGATCAATGTCAGTCACAAGGAAATAGCCGAAGAGTGATCGTCGCGATTGAAAAGAGACTGGCCAACAATCGAAACGGTGTATTCTAACGCGCAATTTGAGTACCGTAAACCGCGTGAAATTGACATTCTCCAGTTGGAGGAACGATTCGGGCTAACGGTAAAGTTAGTCATCGTTCCTTCGACGACGCGCCAAACTCGCGTCAATCGGCTGTGGGCTAAGCGATTACCAGGTTGACTCGCGTATCTCACATTCAGCCGAGAGATTGAAAATGATTTCCCTGTTTTCTCCGGACAAGTTTCTCCTTCGACTGATCGTGAAGAATCCTGTTATCAAACCTTACTATAAATACAGAAGACTGATCGTGAGATTAGAGACGGCTAGAGAAGGGGGGAAGATTGAAAAAACAATTATGTGTGCAATGGTGGAATTTCTTATAGTGGAATTTCTTCAAACACACGCACGTCAGACCATTGCATAAAATAGAGAAGCTTGCTTTTATTTCCTTATGTATGATTTTCTATTGTTGCATTTGCGCCAGGCGTCTAGGAAATTTACGTTAGAACTAAACTATAAAATTTCTAGGAAAACAAAATTTTAATAACAGAAGTTTCAAAGTTTCTAAATCTAAAAAATCCAAATCTGGATCTAGAAAGCTTCAACGGAAAATTATGAATTGCAGTTCCCTATTATTAACTCGTGGAACGTCGCATTTTTCAGCGTGAAGGCTCAAGTCTGTCCTCCGATTTACCGTATCGAATTCCAGATCTCCCGAAAGAAAAAAAAGACAATGGAATATCGGAAAGGCCAAACAGAAAAAGAACATCCCGAATTAGAGTGTAACACGGTGAAATCGTGAAATAGGTGCATACAAGAAAGTGTAATCCCTCCAATTAGCCGACGTGTTCATTTATCGATTTCGATCGCGAACGCGGAAAGTGCAAGATGCAGATCGTTCTCGCGCGAGAACGAGAGGGAAAGCGAGGAGAACACTTCTCGCTGGAAGTTGGTTCCCAAGGTCAGCCGGACATCGACATCGTTTTCCAGTTCGGGGGTACAACCACGGTACCACGTCCTTTCTTTTCTCTTCCTCCATCTTTTTTTCCTCTCTCTCTCTCTTTCTCCTCTCCTCGCTTTTCGGACTCGTCTCTGCTCGACTAAACGCAACGCAGTGAAGAGTCAACCGAGATAACGGTACAGTTCGTGTATTATTAATGATTTCAAGTTCAACAACGCGTACCGTTTTTGAATAAGTGATACGTAATACGTAAATGTATGTATATGTATGTAGAAAGAAAAGAATAAATTCTGTTCGAGGAACAATACGTATGGACGTAACCGACAGTTGGCTGCGTAATTAAAAGAAAGAGCTCGTTAGACACGCTCAGGGTATCTTTTTACACCTGTTACATGTACAATTTGTTATCCCGTACGATTCGTTTAAACGAATGCACTGTTTTTCGTGGCCTTTGATTTTCGTGGCGCGCGAGTTTTCCGGTCCCATTGTTTGATCCACGCGTCTGGTCAGCGAGGGAAAAACGTCCTCGAGTTCTCGAAACTCTTTTTGAAACGAGGACAATAGTACATTATTACTCGCACTTTTAATACTACTAATATCGTGCAGGTGAAAATATTAGTTTTAAAAATACTTTTTCTAAGTTTTGTTTTGAATTTAATTTTTAAAACGGAGATAACGCCATACTGTTACTGTCAGTTGTAATATTACTAACGTCGAGAGAATAATAAATCGAAAGATAATTATTAAGAATACTTATTCACTTCTGAAGTGAATAATATTTTCTACTGAAACGTTTCTGTATTTTCTTTTTGACTTTGCGTATTGCCTTCACAAAGTTAAAAAAAAAAAAAATGATTATGCTTGATAATATATCTTCGCGAAATATTATAACTCAAGCTTGTCTTATCATTGCGCTAGTTAGTTTGCGTAGCTAACGATGGTTTGTTTGCAATGTGATTTGTAAAAATTTGCAATGTGACCTGATTCTTTCAAATTTCTGCCCAAGGACAAATATTTCTTTCCTTTAACAATATTAATTTCGATCAAAAGACTGATTAAATCTTATTTAAAGAAAAAGGAATTGATTGTCAGAATGCACGAATGTAGTTGTGCGTTTCAAAAGATTTTCCTCTTGCATTGAAGATTAATATTAAATTAATCAAATCTCGCGAATTTTGTTTAAAAAAAAAAAAGTAAAATGGAATGTATTTTATCAACATAGTGTATTCTTTCAATTCTTTCAATTAACACTGGAACAATTGAATCTGTTTCTGTCGAATTAACAGATATTTTAAAAAGAACATTTCATTTGTTGGCATTTTTAATTTCTTTAATATTTAAACAATTCATTAATAAAATTTTTATTAATACTACTATTACCGCTAAATAACAGCAACAGGTGTTTTTATAACGAATATAATTTTCTAAACTGTTATCGAAATATACAGACACGAATATAAAACGTGTAGGAACGTCGACAAATGTATGTTACAAAGACATTCTCGGTGATCACTAAACGTGTTCATTTTAAATTATAATCTACTCTACACTTAGTCTGGAGCTGCTTAATATATTTTCATAAAAAGATCTCATTATCAACTTACGTAAAAACCTAGCGCATTATTATTCAAACCACGATATGAATTGGAGACACTAATGTTAATATCATTCATCATATTGCATTATTCCATGGTCACTGAAATTTATCATTTGAGATGTGTCAATTGAAACTAAAACTCCAAATGATTAACGAGATTGTTAACGAGTTGATGAACAACTATATCAAACAAAAAGATTCCATCTGAAAAAGAATAAAATCTCGAAGAATACTATCACGACGGAAAATCCATCATAATACGTGTCCCACAAAATCAACTTATCCTTTTATTACTTATTCATATTCTTAATAATGAGATATCACGTTATTATCGTAACTTAATCATATTATTTATACGAGATGTCACATTGTAACAGAGTGTTACTGAGACACATTTTATTTCGACAAATATCAACTCTGGCAAAAGCACGTAATAGCTTCTGTAAATTAAAACGAAAAATCCGGTGATTTTGACGGGCTCTGGTGTTAACCAACAGGATAATTTACGGATCGCTTTCAAAAAACTATCGCCTCGTGATGCGATATTGAACCACCGGTGGAAAATCGTGGAAACGAACGCGCGTAAGTTTCTTCGAAACTAAACTCAGAAATTAAATTCCAACGATCCCTTCCCAAAACGGAGAGAAGAGAACGGTTTACACAATCGAGTTACTTAATAGGTTATGAAAATTCGTGAAGGCGCAACAACGGTAGTTACCATCAACTAGAGCGTGCTCGATGGTGTTTTCAATGGGCACGATGATCATTGAAGCCTGACACACCGCTACTTGTTACGCACTGTAAATCTACTTGCAAGTAATCTGTAATTGAATCGAATCGAATTCTGTCAACAATAAAATTAACCCATTCAATTTCAAATTCACTCGAAGTTCGATCTTCATTCTTTTCTTTCTCTTTCCTTTATCATTTTCGCATTACGACGTGGACGAACGAGTATTATACACATTAGACGAAAAGACATTCGACTCGAAACATCTGTTGTGTTCCGCGCGGGAGAATCATCGGTGAAAAACGCGCGGAGGTCGACGAAACTTTCCAATGATTTTTCCCGGATCTACATGGATTTACCTGGATACAGCGATGCAGAGTAGAGTTACGTTGACGCCGGTGATGAAAGAGAATCTCGCGAAACAACCGAGGATAGTCCCGTTGGTCTCCGTGCGCACCTGACACGACGAAGGTTCTGGCGTGACTGGCGTCGAAGGTAGCTCGACGAACGGTACTTACTTACCTGAACAACCAGGTACACATTCAGCAACGAGCGTAGAAGCCGATAGCATCGTGCATCGTTTGCACCTCCTCGCCACCTTCTGTATCCTTGATGCCATCCTCGAATATTCTCCGCAGAGGTTCTTGCACGCACCTCCTCCAGTTGAATGAGAATTTGCATGAAAGAATTCTTGGATTCTTGGCGTCCGTTCAAACTTTCGAATACCGTAACTCAATGCTTCATTTCAATAATCGAAGAGTACCACGCAGATCTCTTCTGTTGATTTTCTGGTGTCGGTGAGTAGCGTGATTGGAAAGGAAATGATTCGTTGGATATTCCCGAAGATCTTTCCGGAAGACAAGTGACAGAGTTATAGAATTTTGTAAACGATCGTTTCTGAGATATTCAACAGGTTCCAACATTCATACAGACGAAATAAAAGGACAGTTTTGGTAATGTAGATTGAAAGAGCTTTTGTCAGCTTTTTTTTCTGACTTCTGACGTGATTTTTTGTGAATCAAAAAAAAAAAAAAA